GGAACTAGCAGATAGAATCAACAACTGGGATCTCATCTTACTAAAAAGCTTCTGTACTTCAAAAGAAACCATTAGCAGAACTAAGAGACAATCTACAATGTGGGAAAAAATTTTTACCAGCTGTACCTCAGACAAAGGACTATTATCAAGGATATATAAAGAACTCAAAACAATCAGTCCCCCCAAATATAAAGACCCAATTCAAAAATGGGCATCCGAAATACACAGACATTTCTCAGACAAAGAAGTAAAAGCAGCAAGAAAATTAACAGAAATCTTAAGCATCACATTTTCTAAGCATTCTAGGAAATGTGCAAAATATAACATTCTAAGTTTGATATTTTTAATGTATGCTTAAAGAAAAAATCAAAAATGGGCATCCGAAATGAACAGACATTTCTCAGACAAAGAAGTAAAAGCAGCAAGAAAATTAACAGAAATCTTAAGCATCACATTTTCTAAGCATTCTAGGAAATGTGCAAAATATAACATTCTAAGTTTGATATTTTTAATGTATGCAGTTAAAGAAAAAAATGGAAGCCAAATCTTTGAATTGAATGTAATGGAAACCACAAAAATGAGTTTATCCATTTTTCAGTCTTCCTATTTCTGAAAATGTCCTTTTCTCATTGAATGTGTTTATATGGAGCATTTAAAAAGTTTGTCCAGAACTTGTAAGGCAATCATGGCTTGCCTCTGGCAGAAATAATGTGTCTTCTTGAATCCCTTTGTAAATAATTGAATTTGCCTCTGAAGTTCAAGAAGTTCAAGATTTCTTTTCATGTGTGAGACTGACTGCTTCTGTTTTCCTTTTATATGCAAGCAGATTGTAATATAAGGCAGAAGAAATGCTGTGCAACTGGGATTTGGGGAGCAGGGAGGATAACAGGAAAGATTGACATGACTTCCAGACAACAGTTATTTTTAAGTATAGGGAATGCTTATCCCCATACTGAAATGGGCTTTAGAAAATATTAGCAGGGTAGAAAGCAGTGGGGGTGATGCCAACTGCCTGAGAGCGATGCTGTCTTCAGGCTGCTGCTGCCACCTGCTGCACACACACAGCCACAGAGGGCAGCCACCTGGGCCTAGCAGCTGGAGGATTCCAGATGCATCCAATTAGTATTCAGTGGGCCTCTCTCAGGACCTAGGTATATGCTGAAGGAAAATTAGTCAAATCTGCTGTCTTCAGGCCACAGAAGGTTTTAGATATAAAAATCAGGAACCTGAAAAACAAATGAGAGGGCAGATTTGCCCAAGAGCCACTGAACACATGCAACAGCCCACATAGCACAAGGTAAAGATTCTATTAAAAGTATATTGTTGGCTCATGAACCTAACTGACAAGCTCCCCTTCTTTGAGGTTTTTAAAGCATTTCTTCACTTTAATGCACTAGGATAGGAGACATACTCCAAGGTCAGTGTCTAATAGAATTTGGCGAACTTGAATTTTCATTGGTTTTCTAGTTAGGTAAATTCCTCTTCTCGTGGCAAAGGGAGCGAAGTAACAAGAATCCCTTCTCCAGGTCTGTAAAGTATCCTAATCCACTAGAGGTACCACCTTACAAATGAGGATCTTCAGAGTACAAGTTCTGTTTTCGCTGCTATGCTTCATCTCTTTTATTCATTGCAAGTTCCAGGAGGAAAAGAAAGTGATGGGAGCATCCAGAGAAGTTATTCTCTCCTTTTCCTTCATCTGAGGACACTGAGACCCTTCCTGGGGAAGAAAATCACCTTCAGCACCACCTGACCCAACAGGGGAGGTGGCAGGGGTTGAGTGTAAAAATAAATTTTGGGAGGACCCAGACTAGGAAATAAGTAACTCCATCTTCGGGCTTTTGCAGGCAACAAACATCACTGACTGAGGAGCAATGAGGATAATTGTCATAGCGAGCAATGGCAGCAGTGGTACAGGTGGCAGGCTGGACATCCAGAAAGACAGTAGCCTTTGACTCCTCACATGTAAATCTCTCTTCTTCTAGCTAAATTCTAACCTCTGAATGGCAAGGGTGATTCCTTCTGTCTTAGTACCATCCATATTCCCCACAAGTCCTTGCATGGAAGGATCGGTATATAAATGATAACAAGCTGGCACAAATTATATCCACTTGACCTTGAAAGAAATTGTCATATCACAAATAATTTGACCTCATCTGTGCTTGGTCTTGCTGGATACTGCTACTGTTCTTGTGGAGAGACTGGTGTCACAGTATACTTCATCAGTTTTCCTTATACTTGTGTATTTATTGCTATTCTTTTTCATTAAACCTTTATTGTAGACCTCAACCTAACACATATTTTCTTAATATTGGAGACTAAAGATGGCTTATTTTATCCCAAGATGGGAAAACCAGTACAATCTTAATCTGGCAAGGAATTTTCATCCTATCCTTTCATTAGTAACCAGACATTTCTAGTAGGGGTCCCTTCCATGAAGCGCCATCCTCTAAAGGGAAGTAACTAGAAGAGTGGAACAGGCCTAGCAGCTGGTTAAAGTGAGAGACTCTCTGACTGTGGATTAATCAGCAAAAAGGCCCCCAGCCATCCAGGTAGGAAACTTTCCTGTTGGGCCTCCACTTTGTGTCAGACATGGGTGACAAGGAGCCCTCATTTCATCCATCCCAGAAAACAAGGACTTTGCTGCAAGAGGGGAGACAATAAAATTCAGGTAGCTGAATAACTGCTCCCAGTTATTGTTCAGATTTTATCAAAATTGAATGTGTTCCTACATTGTTCTCTCATTTTGGAGAAATTTTGGAAATAAAATGTATCTTCAGACTGAACAGAAAACTATTATGAAAGACACTAAGTTCACATTTCTTAAATAACTTTGTGCTTTTGGAGAAATGTGTAAAAAGTACATTGTAATTTCTCTGCATGCTTTCCTTTATTTGGATTTTAGAAACCACTTGCTTGGCTGACAGAGATGATGAAGGAGAGAATCTTTGGATTCAGAGGAGTCTTCTAAAGAAGGTGATGCATGAGATTTCACAGAACAATTTCAACATTGTTCTGTTGAAGGTTGTACTTGGCCCTGAACCACACTACCTTCCTGTCTATCGTGCATTTCCTGGAGATGTTCCAACCAGCAGACAGACTCAGGTCTGTAGTAGATTTGGGGTTGTGAGCACAAATAATGAGGCTGGAGCTTGCTTCATTATAGGCATCTATTGACTTTTGTGGCCATTCTGGAAATGCTAGTATAAGCCCTTCAAGCAACAATGCAGAAGAAATGGATGTATTGTGCTGTCTGCTCCATCATCCAGGTACAGTTTTTCAGTGGTAAGACTTCCACTTGTCCTTTCTTGTCAGATAATTTGTCTTCTGTGCTTTTGTTCATTTAATGTGATTGCTGCTGAACTTGATTACTAAAGGGCAAATAGTTACGGAAGTTTTCAGTTAAGTATTTAAATGGCAGCTATCAGAGAGGTGTTAGAGTCTAGAAAAGACTACTAATGGATATCAAAACCAAGAAAGGAATGGACAGTTTGTGCCACTTTTCTGAGATATTTTCTTCCATTTCTATCTTACATGGATGTTCAAGCTACTTAAGAAGCTGTGCTTCTTGGAAATAAAGTGGAACACCCTCCAAGTGGTAATAAACAAAACCAAAAAACTAAAAAGAATCACAAAGCCATCATCTATGTTCAGAGATCCTTGCTCAGCATTTTCTCCCTCCCTCATGCATGCTTTTTCTTTTGGATAGAACAAGTATTTCTCTGCTAAATACTACAGTCTTTGAGAGTTGGACATATGTTGAATTTTACTCAGCTATATGGAGGTGTGGCCCTGGGAGACAAAGGGGTGTGCTAACCATAGAATCAAAATCAAATGAACCCATTTAAAAATGGAAAGAAAAAAAGATTAGCTCTGCATTAAATAATGAACCTTAGTGTCTTAAGGAACTGCACTTTTCAAGTATAGCTATGAAGATTTCAAGAATTTCTAACTCAAAGGAGACTTTGGAATATAATGCTATAGGTAGGATCAGAGGCATATTATTAAAGAATAACTCATAAAAAGTTACACTCAGCTATACTAACCACCATCTACTGAAACTCTGCATCTACAAAAGTATAATAATTCCTATTTGTCACGTACCTTTGAAGGCCTTGCTTCTTTTCAGGTGCTGTTCATCTTTTTATCATTTTCCTTTGTGAATTTCTATGGGACTTGTCACTATAATGTATCATTTCTGTAACAGTATTCCAAAATAATTCTAAACTTGAGGGCCAATATTACCAAATACATATCAAAGGACAAGTGCTTAAGACATTTCAGGTGCCCTGTACCATTCTGTCAGGTTGCTGCTGGAAGCGAGGATCTCCCATGTCCCACAGTTCAGTGTTGGCTAGAGATGATGCTGTGTGAAAGCTCTTCTGAGGGTACCCTCTCTCCTCCTACCCTCCGAGACCATGTCCATGGGGGTGGGGAGGTCCTTTCCATCCTCCTCTAGGGAATGTATGTTTTCTTACCCTATTCAAACAGACAAAATTTGAGAGGCACTTTGGAGATTATGAGGGTTATATAAAGAACATAGACCCTGGGCAATCAAATCTGTGTTCTATGACTGGAGATGGGACTGCAAACACTTCCTCCCTTTCTGCCTCAGTTCCCGGTTTGATGAAGACGCCTAGCGATGTCACTGTTTATCATGGAGCTGTGTGGGGATCACACAGAGAATGTGAATGTAGCTTCTATAAAAAACATGTTCTGAAAAAGCGTTATTCATACATTAATTACACCACTTGTGTGTGATATGGAGCTGTTGAAAAAGACAATTATATTAAATATGAGCATAGTTGTCTGACTAACTTTCCTCATGCTCTTCAGTTTTCAAATAGGTTTAATTTTACTTATAGGTAGTCAGAAGCCTTAAATTCTTTTTTAGGAATGACCAACAGACAGAGAGAGATGTTCAGATATCAGTCATTTAGTACACTTTTCATAAGCACCTGCCTTCTCATTTGTACTGAACTTTATGCTTTTCCCTTTGCATTACACGGAAGCTGCTTTCTAAGCAAGAGAGAAAAACATTTCCTCAGTCGTTCGCTCATCTCACTGTAATGACCGGGTTAAGCGTGAATTATGTAAAGAAAAGTATTCCCTTTTTAGGAATATGGGAAGAAATATCCAATAAAAGAGAAAACATTTTGCTCTACCTGGTGCTGGTGTCAACCTGACATGCCACCCACAGAAGAAAAGCTTCTCTGTGCAGGTGCAATGGTCGAAAGTCACTAACAAGGTGGACCTGATTGCCATTTTTCACCCCAAACGTGGCTTCCACTGTATCAGTGCAAGTCCCTGTGAGCCCCTGGTGACTTTCCTACAAACTCCTTGGAATATAACAGAGTGGACTCTGTGTAGAAGGAACGTATCTTCATCACTCAGTGGAAAGTACATATGTAGCTTTACTCTGTATCTGGGTGGCATTCATTCTAAAATCTACAACCTTCTCATTCAGGCACTCTGTGAGCATCCCTGGTGATGGAGGGGAAACTCCTACTTCTGCTCTCATTCATCCAACAAACATATGTTCTGAGCTGAAGGCTCAACAGGGCAACTGTTGAGAAGAGGTAAATATTGTCTTCTGTGGGACAGAGAAATTAATCAAATACATGTAAAATTCCAAGTGTTAATAATATAAAAGAGCATTTAATAGTGGCCAAAAACAACTGTCCTCAAGAAAGAAACATGAATTGATATCTGAAGAATGAGTAGATAATTTAGAAAAAGCCATTTAGTGAGTGATCCAGAGAAAGGAAACAGCTGCATGAAGAACTTTGTAGGGTTGAAGGAAATTTAAAAATCCAGTGGGATTACAGTGAAAAGATTAATGGATGAGGCTGGAGATATAGTAAGGACTTTGTCTATCATGTTCAAGACTTTGATATTAATCTAAGAACTATGAATAGATATTGAAACATTTCCAACAAAAGGGAGGCAAGACATTTATGGCATGACCCTATATATTATAAAAATATGATAATGGCTTCAGTGTGAAAATAGTAGAGAAAAAGAGAAAATGATGACCATCCGAGCTGTTCAGAGGGGAAAGTGGTATTGAAAGAGCAACACAGAAAGAAAATTACATTTCATACATTGGCTATAAAATATAGATATGACTGTCATAAGGGGAAATAGGGGCAAGAGCAATACGAAAGTGGAGGAGAGAAAAACTGAAGATGGAATATCGGCTTCTGGCATGTCCACCTGCATGATGATGCCAGCCTCTGTCCTAGAAGACAAAGGAAGTGAACGGTTTGTAAGTGAGTTTGGGCAATCGACTGAATATTTAGCATAGAGCAGGTGAAGAGGGCAAGGAGGCTACTTGACATGCAGCATGAATGCATTAGGAGGCAAAACTACGAGGGAGTTAAGTTCCAAGTTTTGTCTATGTAGAAATGATTTGATTTGAGGGCCTTTCATGTAAGTTATTTGAACCTTTTTGGAGAACAGTGATAATAATATTTGCCCTAAATTACCTGGTTCTAAAGTAAATGATTTCCATTTCTACTAATGGAAAGAGTGAAAATGAAAGCCAACAAATGGAAAATGCACTGGAAATGGGAAATTTTACACTCAGGGACAAAGTGACCTAGTAATGTATGAAAAAAAAACAGAAAAAGTAGCTTATGAAGTCCATGATAAAGGAGGCATGAAACTATCTAGGAAAAGCAGCAGGTACAAATTTAGTATCTCCTCTCCATCTCTTAACCCTCAGCAGCTCCCAAACTATGATATTAGAAGACTCCATCTATAAGCCAAGATGCCATAATTATTGACATAAAATGCCTTATTTCTGCTTTCCGGAAAATGAACTCCCCCCACAAAAATAAAACACAAAACTTTAATTTCTTTTTTTTCTTTTTTTCTTTTTTTTTTTTTTTTTTTCTTTTTTTTTTTTTTT